TTTGTCACATTTTAGTGAAAAGGAAATCCGTTTAACTGCATGGTAAAAAATACCGCAGTTATTGACTCATATCAAATGCACTTCTTGTACCGAAAATTGTAACAATTTTGCATGAACGAGTATAGTCAAATGTACATGCACTTGAATTCAATTATAATTCACCTCATTAAGAAATGCTTGAAATAGTCATTGCAAAGAGTTCAGATGCAGTAATCTGTGCTGGGATGTTTGAGGCTCAGATTGAGTTAATCTCTAAAATACATATGCACATTTGTACATTGGATGTTTAAGTGACAAGGCGTTCGGTTCAGGAAGCTTCCTAGTTTTAGTTTGCAAGCAGAGAAATTAACACCAATTACAATTAAACAGGCTTTGGCTGCATCCTTGATGCCTGTGGGATGAAAATATTCAGAACATATTGACTGTTGAGTATTTAAAAGAATATTACTTTTTTTTCCACTTTTTTATTTATTTGCATTATAAATACTGGTAGCATTTTGCGAAGGCAGTCTTGGCCTAGATATGTACTCAGAATCAAACTGATCTATACAAAGTAAAAAAATAAAAAAAACTACCTTCAACCAAATCCAAACCCCACCCAATATCCACAAATCATTGAAATTCAGCTTTTTTTTTTATATATATATATAATTTAAATGTCCCTGGTCACACCAGTAGCACTGGGATATTGGCCGTTGTCCTCTTCTCTATTGGTTCTAAGACTGGGAGTTAGATAACTGTGGCTCATTACATGGCACCCAAACAAAAGTGTTGCATGTTGAAGTGGATATGTCATATAGATAATAAAGTCTCTTTGTGATGATACACAGATGCATTTAAAAAATAATTTTTTTTTTACCCGTGGCAGAAATTCTTCACCAGCCAACTTTAATAACTCCTGAGGGAAATGGAAATCCGTGCACAAATCCACATTTAACAACAGCTGAGTGTTTACGGATTAAAGGTTTAGACAGTTGATTAAATCCTTTAGTCATTTTGTCAAGCACAACAGTTTATTTTTGTCTGTGATATACATCCACTGGACAAAATGAATAGATAAATAAACTGTAGCACCGCGGTGCAGGAGTTAGAACTTTTTCCTCACATCATGTTAGCTCTCGGTTAAATCCCAGCCTGGCCTATACTCTTTTTGGGTGGAGTTTGCATATTCTCTCTGTATAAGTGTTGGTTTTCTTTGGGTAATCCTCCCACAGCCCATAAACATGCATGGTAGAGTATTAGACATTCTCAAGTAACTTGAGGTGTTTCTGTGTGGAACCCAGAAAGGTTTAACTGCATATAATGAATAAATAGGTATATTCTGGAGTAATTTTAGCCAAACTCTTCTGGTCACAAACTTAGGACAGTTATTATTGGCGTAACAATGTTATAAATGGTAGTTATTCATAGTACCAGAGAAATAATTGCATGTCTCATTTTTAATGTACTTTGTTATTTCCCTCTTTAATTTCTCATTAAAGAACGTTGCATAAGATGTGCCATAATTCTGAAGTACCTGTATAATTTTGAATTGGCAAAACAACTTGTTTCTGTTCCGTATAGCTATTTTCACACAGGCACTGCAGTCTGGAAATGGTCTAGTGATGTTTTGGGGAAATAGGATGTTAGAATATTTGCTGCAAACATAGAATAGACTTAATGGAGTGATAACGAAAATTCAATCTGGGAGACACACCCACTCCTCCAGCTTCATCCAATGGCTCCTCCGTATGTCTCCGCTCCAACCAATCAGCATCAAGTCTGCAGTAATCTTCAGCCAATGAATCTTCAAGGCTCCGCATTTAAAGTCTCCCATTCATGGATCTGTCAGCTGTCAGCCGAACTTCGACCCTCCTCCACCGCATCGTCTCCATCGGATTCTCAGCTTCTCCAGTTCTCTTATCATCAGGCCTCCTTTCCATCACCAGTATCGGATCCCGGGGGAAAGACAATTCTAATTCTAACTCTAAGACGTTCATTCATGTCATTCTCAGCATTCATGTCTTCCTCTGGGGTCTGAGCGCCAAACTAATAAACATCCGTTGTGTAACTTCTCTAATTGCATTTTGTGTTTCTTATTGCGAGTCTCTACAGGATTGAATTGCCTTGTGACACACTTTTCCCACAAAGAACTTGAAAGAAAACATCTTAATTTTGACGTATTTGGGCAGTAATTGACATGAAATTAGGATTGAAGATGTGATAAAAGACACTTGTGACACAAAATCAGCATGTCTTACGTTAAGATCAGTGTTTATTTGGTGAAACAGTGCATTGCTGGAGTTTGGCTCCAATACTACGACAGGAGCCGTTAGTCTGCACTACTTTCCTGAAGTGAAGAGGATCAGAGCTGCCTGGATCAGAGCTGGAAAACTGACGAGGTACAGATGGGCTGGTCCCACCAAGCACAGCCAGTTGTGGTCAGAGAACTATTGAGCAAACTTCGAACAAGAAATCTCTGAATTCACAAGAGCAATTATGTCAGAGATCGGGATATCTGACAGATAAATGTTGAAGCAGATGCTATTGCCATGCTGCTCAGTGTATCTGATATAAAGAAAAAGTTGTTGTTTGCTGTTGCAAAACTGATCAAGTCTTAGCAGATAGGAGCACTTCCTTGCCACAAAGGTAAATTTAGATATCAGCAGTTATTGTTAAAGATCTTAAATTATTATTATTATTAAAATAAGATAAATTACATGCACATATCACATATTTAAATAAATGTTTCTTTAAAGACTAATATAAAGCTTAAAAAAATTACACACCAGGTAGTGTCTTCAGATCTTATATCATCTATTGTGTCTGCTGCTACTGCTCCATACTGCTCAGGTTCGCCTCCAGTTGTTTCTGGTCCGCTGCAGAGCCTGTAGGAGCTCCAAGAACCACACGCAGATCGCGCAATAAAAACCTGTGATAAATGAGGAAACATGTCCAAGATAACTCATTCTGTGGACGTATAACCAGTTAAAACTGCTTCATTTTACATTTTATGCATCCAGATATTTTCATGTGTTTTGTTGTACAATGGGTAAGGACACTGACTGCAGCGAAGCTATATTTGTTGCTTAATTTGGTGCATTTAATGTTGAATTACTTATATTGTTTATAATACCTTAGTTAATCCAGTAACTGATCTAATTGATCTAATGTAAACAACTGCTAATATATACACGTGTGTATATAAATATATGTATGTATTTATTAATATAGCAAGATCTAGTCTGTCTTTAGTGAATTATTTAGAAAATCTTGATGTTGTGCTCTTTCTGTTTCATGGTGGTGCGGTGTGGTTTATGCATATTGAGTCTGTGCTCCGGCATCCAGCAAAAATACACTCTGGTCAAATTAGATGGCCGTCCGCATGCTGCAGCACTTGTGCTCTGCCATGTGATGAAAGCTGACTTTTTTCTCCTGACTCTGCTGCATCTCTCTCTGGTAGTGACTGAAATTTATCTAAAGAAATATCAGATTCTTTGCTGCTGTCTGTGTTGCTGCCATTGTAGCAGCAGTCAGTTTACGTGAGGGGGTTCCCCTTTGACGTCATAAAAGAGCACAACAAAATTGTAAAGGAGTAGTGTGGAAATTCGATGTTGCAGGCACTTCAAGAAGTATTGAGAAAGGGAATATATCAGAGCATTGCCAGTAAAATTAAGGAGACATGCTGATAAAAGCTGCTGCTTTGTACCATTTGTTCTAATGACCTTTTTGTTGTTTTATGCTTCTTCATTACTATGTTCCATAAAGCAGATACAGGGGTTGGACAGTGAAACTGAAACACCTGGTTTTAGACCACAATAATTTATTAGTATGGTGTAGGGCCTCCTTTTGCAGCCAATACAGCGTCAATTCGTCTTGGGAATGACATATAAAATCCTGCACAGTGGTCAGAGGGATTTTAAGCGATTCTTCTTGCAGGATAGTGGCCAGGTCACTACGTGATACTGGTGGAGGAAAACGTTTCCTGACTCGCTCCTCCAAAACACCCCAAAGTGGCTCAATAATATTTAGATCTGGTGACTGTGCAGGCCGTGGGAGATGTTCAACTTCACTTTCATGTTCATCAAACCAATCTTTCACCAGTCTTGCTGTGTGTATTGGTGCATTGTCATCCTGATACACGGCACCGCCTTCAGGATACAATGTTTGAACCATTGGATGCACATGGTCCTCAAGAATGGTTCGGTAGTCCTTGGCATTGACGCGCCCATCTAGCACAAGTATTGGGCCAAGGGAATGCCATGATATTGCAGCCCAAATCATTACTGATCCACTCCCATGCTTCACTCTGGGCATGCAACAGTCTGGGTGGTACGCTTCTTTGGGGCTTCTCCACACCGTAACTCTCCCGGATGTGGGGAAAACAGTAAAGGTGGACTCAACAGAGAACATTACATGTTTCACATTGTCCACTGCCCAAGATTTGCGCTCCTTGCACCATTGAAATCGATGTTTGGCATTGGCATGAGTGACCAAAGGTTTGGCTATAGCAGCCCTGCCGTGTATATTGACCCTGTGTCTTGGTCACAGATGCGCCAGCAAGACGTGCATCAACAATTTGTCCTCTTTTGAACTCTGGTATGTCACCTAAAATGTTGTGTGCATTTCAATATTTTGAGCAAAACTGTGCTCTTACCCTGCTAATTGAACCTTCACACTCTGCTCTTACTGGTGCAATGTGCAATCAATGAAGACTGGCTACAACGCTGGTCAAATTTAGCCATGAAACCTCCCACACTAAAATGACAGGTGTTTCAGTTTCATTGTCCAACCCCTGTACATATAGTATTCTACTATAAAGAGCATGTTGGCTACAACTTTGGAAAAGAAATGTTTGTGGTGACTTAAAAATGTCTCCATAAAATGTGCTGTATTTATGGCCAAAAATGTTTTGCAACAAGATATATTTTACATACACATTTTATGGTGGTTACAGTCAATTGGAAAAATATTACAAAATGAGACATAAATAAACATTTTGGCTTGTTGTCATGTCAGGCTGCACGGTGGCGCAGTTGGTAACACTGTTGCCTTGCGTTGTAAGGTCCTGGGTTCGATTCCCGGCCGGGGGTCTTTCTGCATGGCGTTTGCATGTTCTCCCCGTGCATGCGTGGGTTCTCACCAGGTACTCCAGCTTCCTCCCACAGTCCAAAGACATGTCCGTTAGGTTAATTGGTCACTCTAAAATTGCCCTTAGGTGTGTGCATGGTTGTTTGTGTGTTGCCCTGCGATGAACTGGCGACCTGTCCAGGTTGTACCCCGCCTCTTGCCCATAGACTGCTGGAGATAGGCACCAGCTTCCCCACAACCCACTATGGAATAAGCGGTAGAAAATGAATGAATGACTGACTAAACATTTTGGATTGTAGTCATGTAAATATCTAAAGGGGGTCGGCTATTTTCTGAGTCATTTTGCTTGTTGAAGTGTCCAAAATAACTAGAAATAAAGTCTGATTACACGTTGTCAAAAGTTTCTCAAAAAATAGGTTAACCCTCCCACAAAAACACCTTGTCACTCATGTTAATAAGCATTAAAGTCTGCCTGTGTCCAATAAAAAAACCATATCCAAGCTTTCCCCAGCTTTACAATATGATTCTGATGCAAGAATCCACTTTTAATTGATGCTGGCAGTTGTTAGAGGTTCTTTGGATGCTTTTAAAGCCATTTGTGTGGCTTAGAAAAAAGTGGAAATATGTAAACCAAATCTAAAGCCTGTGAATAAAAAAATCGAAGAAATCAAAATCCATTTCGATGCGAGTTGAAACCATAAAACAAGTCCGAGTAGGATCAAATCAAAATAATCAATTATGTCCTTGCACACCTAATAGTATACAACCAAATTAAATGGTTTCCCTGGGAAAGATTGAAACCAAATGAATAATGATGTTGTGCAAAACTAGGTTTGGTTTTGCTATAAATAACTATCATAAGGTGACAAGGGCAATTATTAAAATAGTCCAAGCACCATCTGATTATCAGAAAACAATAGTCTCAGTCTCTGTCAGTTATTGCTTTTTGAATATATGCCTGGTGATGTGTGGTATTATAGAACAATAGATGGAGTGAATTTGCAAACTGGCGCTTTCAAACGGCAAGCAAAACAGCATTATCTTCCAAATAATATATTTTAGTCAAAAAAATCTCTAACTTGGGTAGGAACATTGAGCTAAACTACTAAGTAAACATGAAAAGAATAATAAAAAAAACCCAATAATAATTTATGGAAAAAAGTTACCAGTTACCAATAAAACAGATACCACTGTTCAGTGTGAATATGTATGATGTTTAAGAACCAAATTGGATTGAAAACCTAATTACGAACAAAAGTTGTTAGGTGATAAAAAAAACAGTCCATAATGCAAAGCAGAAGGAAAAAAACTATTCTATTAAAATAATGTTTCAAAAATAATTAGTTGAATTAAAAATCCATAACATTTTGGACAACTGATTTTTAATAATCTTTTAACTAGCTATCACAGTGATTGAATGTATTGACCGAATACTAAGATGGCGAACGAATGAAAAGAAGTCACATCTGGAATTAGCAACCCCTTTAAGTCCCACGTGTACCTTTAAGTACCACTAATACTAATACTAATGTTTGTTTGAGCACTGACAGCACGGAGTGGCCATTCACTGCATCAACAAAACAAGCTATGTTGTAAACACTGCAGAACTAATGGTGGCCAACGTCTTAGCAGTGCTTTTAGCTTTAGCATTAGGAGCTGGGAAACAAGGACAAAATTTTGCACTTTTATAAGGACCATCACTGCTCGAATATAGCCTCAAAAGCGAACAGTGTCCTGCGTCCTGTTTGTGCCAGTACCAAGCCCAGATAAATGCAGAGGGTTGCGTCAGAAAGAGCATCCAGCGTACATTTTTTGCCACATCTGCCGTGCAAGTCATAAAGACTATTAGTGCTTAGACCACTTATTAATATAGCTTGAATCACTGATAGCCTTAGCTCTGGCTTTCTCCAGCCTGACACAGTTTAGGCATCAAAACAAAGCAAAACACAACAAAATAAACAATATTTAACTTGCTTGATTTTGAACGAATTTTCTCTGCTCAGACACAACCTCTTACAGTGAAACACTCTGATAAACAGGAGAACACACTGAGTTCAGCCGGTCCAATGAACAAAGAAGAGATGCCACCTTCTCTCTGTCTAGCGGCTAGGGAGAGCATCTGTTTGGACAGGCATGTGTGTTAGGTGTGCATAGCTGTGGCTTTTAATGCCATCTCCTTCAGGTAGTGGAGGCACTTCGTAAATATTCAATTCAATTCAATTTATTTATGTAGTGCCAATTCACAACACATGTTGTCTCAAGGCACTTCACAAAAGTCAGGTACATACATTCCAATTAATCCTAACCATTGAACAGTGCAGTCAGATTCATTTATTTATTCAAATTGGATAAAAAGTTTTTCTATCTAAGGAAACCCAGCAGATTGCATCGAGTCAGTGACTTGCAGCATTCACTCCTCCTGGATGAGCATGTAGAGACAGTGGACAGTCACTGGCATTGACTTTGCAGCAATCCCTCATACTGAGCATGCATGCAGCGACAGTGGGGAGGAAAAACTCCCTTTTAACAGGAAGAAACCTCCAGCAGAACCAGGCTCAGTGTGAGCGGCCATCTGCCACGACCGACTGGGGGTTAGAGAGAACAGAGCAGAGACACAAAGAGAACAAAGAAGCACTGATCCAGGAGTACTTTCCATGGGAAGGAAAAGTAAATATAAGTGAAAGTAAAGATTATTTTACTTGTTTTTAAAAGTTTACTTGGTGTTGCCCCATCTTACCTCTTCGAGCTGCTTCACCCATATTCTCCCGCTCGTTGCCTCAGGTCAGCTGATCAGCTGCTCCTGGAGCTACCAATGTCTAAACTAAAGCTTATATTATATTCAAATTATGGAACGTTTTGCCGTTACATATTAGAAGTGCCCCTTTATTGTCTACTTTTAAAATTCATCTTAAGACTCACTTTTATTTTTTGGCTTTTAATGCATGTTGAGACTTTTGCTCTTACTTCTGCTATGGTGTTTTACTGTTTTTGTTGTCTCTTTCATATTTTGCATGTTTATTTTGATTTTCGTCTGTACAGCACTGTCGCAGCTACTGTTGTTTTAAAGTGCTTTATAAATGAAATAGTAGTAGTAGTAGTAGAAGTACTTAGTTTTGTAGCTCTATGATGTCACAGTGATTAGTCCTCCTCCCTGGCTCGGCCCAACACCAACTCAAAATAAATAAGAACATAGATTTAATAAGGTAAAGTGTATAATCTTTTCGGCAGTTCAGCATTTTAACAGCTTGTAGCTGAAAGCTTTGCATTTGGGTTGTGCATCTGTGGCCTGTGGGCGACACCATATGTGTCTCCACACTGCCAATGATCAGATTTATTTTAGATAAATAAATGGAAACTATAGTTTGATACGATGCGATTCACCCCTCTGTAATGATTTTATGAAACTCGCTGATTTTAGGACAAGCAGTGTGATTTAAAGCAAAGCAAGTAAATGTGACAAACAAAATAAATTATACAATGCCATTAGATAGATCTAACTGACTCAAAATTTCCATCACAATCTGGTCTTGTCCGACAGTTCTAGCGCACTTTTAGAAATCATGACACAACTGAAAAAAAACACACTGAAACTTAGGTTAGTTATGCTAATTTATAGAAAGCCCTGTTCCTGCAGCAGCTCTGCAACAGATGCCTGGACAGACGGAAGATACACTTCGATGACCTTCTAAGCTTCCATCTCTATCTTCTGCTGGACCCTCTTGTCTGCCATATTGCAGCTGGACTACCACGCTGAAATACAGTTCATTGACATGTCCCCATCAGCTCAATCAGTTCTCCTCAGCTGTGTGGAATATTTTGAGGATGCTGATAGGGAGTTATATTTCAATGTTCTCAGAAAGTGTATGGCCGTTTTCACAATCCAAGTTATGTTCTTTGACCAGGTGAGGTCAGAGATCTCCACTCATAGGAATTTAATGCTGTCCATACTCCTTACTAAACAGTGTCTTATGCTGAGGGGTGTGTTCCTAGGTAGAGACCTTTAGTTGTTGATCATCTCATTCATTATGACCACATCACTGCCTGTGCGTCAGCCCTCTAGCAAAAGTACTTCCTGGTTGTAGATCACCATTCCAATAGTTGAGTCTTACTGGGGTATCATCTGCAAGTTTAATGTTAAGGTTTACCTTATATGTAGATGCTGAGCTAAAATTGTTCCCAATGTGTGAGATTCCACACCAACATATCCAATACAAACATAGCATATTGACCTAATTTCATGTCACAGTGGAAATCCAAGATCAAAAATAGAGAAATCCAGTCAAACTCCAGACCACATAAGCTGTGCCTTATGTGTTAGTACAATTAGACGAGGTTTGTGTGTGTGTGTTATCATGTGAGTCCACAGAAGAGTGAAGGGAGGTGGAGGTTGTATAGATTGGAAGCGTGCCCTTCTTTTTCCACGTTTTTACCTAAAAGTAATATTTCTTAGTACCCATTTGTAGAGAGCCAGGATGCATTAAACAGAGAGGCACAGGAAGTGGCACTTATTAATGCATGGAAAAGTCTGCAAGTAATCATTGAATTATTCATTTATTATACTAAGTATTTCTTTTTCAATGCCCTATATCTCCTATGGTTAAAAATTACATGATTCTAAAAAAAAAAATTGAGTAAAGAGAAACTCACTCCCAGGTATAGAAGTAAACATTTTTTAATAGTGCATCAGCTTTTAAATTTAGGGCAGTTTACAGGTAAAATATGTAGTAAATTAATTTTCTCACTCAGTTTGCATTTTCTAGTTAAAAAAGGTAAGATTAACACCATATGCATTAGTTACACATGTAAAACTGTTTGGCTTTAGCTTAATTTAATCAGTCAGAATCAATAACTACGTAAATTATAATACGTGATCACAAATGGGTCTAGCTTTTATTAATGTTTAAATTATTTCAACAAAGGACATGCAGAAAAAGCAAAACATACATTATCTATTTTTTAGAAAATAAATTAACTGTCAAATTAAAAAAGGACAATTTAGACTCCATATTAAA